TACCATTAACAGAGAGAGTTCCATGTGCTATACAATAGGTCCTTGTTGGTTATTCATTTTAAATATAGCAGTGTGTACATGACCTTCCAAACTCCCTAACTATCCCTCTCTGCCAGTAACCATAAGTTCGTTTCATGTCTGTGAGTCTCTGTGTTATGAGTAGGTTCAAAATATTTTTTTAAATGAAAGTGAGTCCTTTTTTTTTTTTTTATACCGATGTTCTCCATGGGATTTATTTACTTCTTTAGAAATGTGGTATCTCAGTGCCCTGACCAGACATCGAACCCACAACCCCTGCATTGGAAGGTGAAGACATAACTGCTGGACCACCAGGGAAGTCCCTATTTATATACTTTTCAACTGTGATATTCTGCTAAAACACATGGACCAGTTTATTGTGAAATATTGCCAACATACAGGCAAGCGTAGAATAGAACAATTTTAAAGAACGTTCACAAATACACCACACAGATGAATCAACTCTTGAGTAGGACATATTTGCTTCATATCATTTTTAAGGAAGTAACACACTTGTAATAAATACCAGGTATACTCATGAGCCCCCCCAAACCCATTCCCCTCACCTTCAAGCTGACTCCATGCCCAAGAAGATGACGTGTCTGTAGTTGTCCAGCATCACGTCCCTGTATTGGGCCTTCTGAGCCCAGTCCAGCGTGTCCCACTCTTGCCTGGTGAAGTACAGAGCCACGTCCTCGAAGGACAGCAACCCCTGGAAACAGAGACTCATTACAGCTGCAGCTCCTACCACAGCTCTGCGGGCTACAGTATTATTAGTGTCCTACAGCCGAGGCTCATCCAGGTCATCAGCAGACTCAGAGCTCAACTCGTCTCCAACCCTCAGGTCACGCATGTTCTTTCTTCCATGCTAGAGTCACACGTGTTCTCTCCGGAAGGACACGTGGTCAGTGTGTGAGGCTTCTCTGGCCGTTTGGTCTCTGCTGTGTTCCCTCAGCTCTACTCTGGCAGCACAGACAGCAGGAGAGTGGACGAGTGTGGCTGTGACCCCATAAAACCGCTCCCGGGTCCAGGTGAGCCTGCCGACCCTGCTGTGTGCGCTCCCACCTTCCTCATCACGCGGTTCTTCTGCCCAGTTCTACGAAAGAGACGGCGCCCTCCCGGGGGACACAGAATGAGGCAGCGTGCGGGCTGCTCCCACAGGGATGGACAGGCTACTGGGACTCACCAGGCAGGCAGAAGCTGCCGGGCTGGCTGTCATGGGCACCACTACCTGCCAGGCCTGAAGGGGGAGGAAGGGAGGGGTCACTGGGATCCAGAAAGTTGTTGGAGGAGCAAGACTGGAGCCGGGGCCTCAGGGGAGGCAGCCCAACAGGAGAGGCTGCGGATAAACGTCCAGAGACCCCCCCTGTGTGGTCCTCACCCCTCCTCTCCTCTCCCCCTGGGCCCTGAAGTCATTCTCTCTCATCTCCTCCAGGGTCTTAAGCGAATGAGTCTTTTTCCTTTTCCCCATTGTGATATTGTGATTTAAATAAGAAATATATATTTGGTCTTCCTGCCTGTTTCTGGCACAGAGTTCCTAAAGTGCTTGGAATTTCTTAGGGAATGAGTGCAGAGGAGCATCTTTTAATCCTTGGGCTTTTCTCTTTGGTTTTTTATTTATTTTTGGCTGTGTTGGCTCTTCGTTGCTGCACATGGGCTTTCTCTGAGGCACGGGTTACTCTTTGTTGTGGTGTGCAGACTGCTCATTGCAGTGGCTTCTCTAGTTGCAGAGCATAGGCTCTAGGTGTGCAGGCTCCATAGTTGTGGTACACAGGATTAGTTACTTCACAGCATGTGGGATCTTCCTGGACCAGGGATCGAATCTGTGTCCTATGCATTGATAGGAGGATTCTTATCCACTGTGCCACCAGCCATCAGGGAAGTCCTCCTCCGTTTCTCAAGTAACTGCACAGCCACACAGGTGAGAGAAGAGTCTTGTTATCATAACAAATCCCTCAACTTCTGAGTTTTATGTTAGTGAGGAAAACTCCTAAGGATACAGCTAGTTGCCAGGGGCCAAGGCTTGTGGCAAGTTAGAACCTTCACCCCTAGCACCTGAGGGGAGGGGACAGGCTGGGGTTCAATCAGTCCCCAGAGGCCAATGACTCGGCCCACAACACCTATGCAACGAACCCCCATAAAAATGCAGACACTGGTTGCTGAACGGGTGGAGGTGCTGGGGGCGTGCCCAGAGAGGGTTGGAAGCGCTACTGCCCTGCCCCCTGCATCCTGAGCATCTCTTCCCTCTGGCTGATCCTGAGTTCTATCCTTTTACAGTGAAACAGTGGTAAGTAAACTGTTTTTCTCAATATTTATTTATTTGGCTCCTGTCGGATCTTAGTTGCAGCAGGCGGGATCTATTTCCCTGACCAGGGATTGAACCCAGGCCCCCTGAACTGGGAGCTGGAGGTCTTAGCCACTGGACCATCAGGGAAGTCTCTAAACTGTTATTTCTGAGTTCTGTGAGCCACTCTAGCAGATCAGTGGAATCTGGTCAGGGAACTAAGATATACCACATGCCCCCGAGCAACTAAGCTCTGATGGGTGCTACATCAAAAGATCCTGCAAGCCACAACTAAGACCTGACACAGCCAAATACTTTTTTTTTTAAGTAGTATGCATTCTGAAGTTGTATATTCTATCAAGTATTTTATATATGTCAATCAATTCAAGATTGTAGACACAGTGGTTCAGATATTCTATGTCTTTAATATTTTGTCTAGTTGTTCTATCAACTTCTGAGAATGGAGTGTTAAAATTTCTAATTATAAAACTGCCCACTTTTCTATTTTTATTTAGTTCTGTCAGTCTTTACTTTGTGATTTTGAAGGGTGTGATATTAAGCACATAATATATTAATAACCCAGAATTCTAGATTTTATGTGTAACACTAAAATCGCATTCATAATTGTGACCTAATTACACACTAAACAATTACTCACCTTGGTGAATTGATCCTTTCATCATCATAAAATCCTTCTATATCTAAGATAATATCCCTGTTCTTAAATTCTATTTTATCTTATATTAATATATCCACTCCAGCTTTTTATGATTAGTGTTTTCATTGTATATCCTTTTTCATCTTTTGAATTTTCTGTATTTAAAGTATCTTTTACATAAATCAAACCAATGTTTTCTTAACTCAGTCTCCCAAATGAGACCTAATCAAACTTATAAGCTTTAGCAAAGCAAACTATAAGGAAAATGAAAAGACAGACTACTATATAGTTTTTGCAAATTATGCAACTAAGGGCTTACTTTGCAAAATATACAAACAGCTCAAACAACTCAATAACAAAATACCAGTCAACCCAATCAAACAAATGGGCAGATGATCTAAATAGACAGTTCTCCAAGGAAGACATCCAAATGGCCAACAGGCACATGAAAAGATGCTCAACATTGTTAGTTGTAGAAACATTTAGGCCAACACTACAATGAGGTACTACCTCACATCAGTCAGAATGCCCATCACTGACCAGCCTACAGAGAACTTCCTGGTGGTCCAATAGTTAGGGCTTTGTGCTTCCACTGCAGGAGGCAGGGGTTCGATTCCTGGTCATAGAACTAAGATCCTACCTGCCCTGGGGCAACTAAGCCCATGTGCCACAACTAGATTCTGTGCACTGTGATGAAAGGTCCCACACGTCTCAGTGAATACACTGTGTGCAGCAGCTAAGACCCAGTGCAGTCTAATTAATTAATTTAAAAAGATGTTGTTATTAGCAGGAGAAAGAAAAAGCAGAAACAAGGACACAAAGAGCTCTTGCGAGCTAATGGAGATTGTTAATATCCTTTTGGCTGCCTGTAACCCTCCTATCCCATTGAGTTGAACCTTGTGCAGAAAGAATCTCAGTCAGTGGTACTTTTCATCTTGGTTGCACACTGATTAACCTAAGGATTTTTTTAATTAACTGACTTATTTTTATTGAAGTATAGTCAATTTATAATGTGTTAGTTTCTGGTAGGCAGCAAAGTGATTTGGTTATATATATATATATATATTCTATTTCAGATTCTTTTCTGTTATAGGTCATTATAAAATATTGAGCATAGCTCTCTGTGCCACACGTAGGTCCTTTTTGTTTACCCATTATATATATAGTAGTTTGAATATGTTATTTCCAGATTCCTAACTTAACCCCCTCCCAGACCTTTTCCCTTTGGTAAGAAGTTTGTTTTCTATGTCTGTGAGTCCGTTTGTTTTGTAAATAAGTTTACTGGTATCATTTTTTAGATTCCACATATAAATCATATTTGTCTTTCTCTGTTTGACTTACTTACTGCTGCTAAGTCACTTCAATCGTGTCCGACTCTGTGAGACCCCATAAATGGCAGCCCACCAGGCTCCTCCGTCCCTGGGATTCTCCAGGCAAGAACACTGGAGTGGGTTGCCATTTCCTTCTCCATTGACTTCCTTAATTTAATATGATCATCTCCAGGTCCACCTTATGCGTGTATGCTAAGTCACTTGGGTCATGTCTGACTCTTAGTGACCCTTTGGACTGTAGCCCACCAGGTTTTTCTGTCCAAGGGATTCTCCAGGCAAGAACACTGGAGTGGATTGCCATGCCCTCCTCGAGGGGATCTTCCCCATCCAAGGACGGAGCCCCCATCTCTTATGTCTCCTGAATTGGCAGGCAGGTTCTTTACCACTAGTGCCACTTGGGAAGACCAATATTTGGAGGTCTGTACAATCAGGAGATAGTGCATAATTATTTCATCAATTCACTGTCTTATATTCATCATGAATTTCTCCATGTTGATGAAAGGCTGAACACATACTGAAAGTTTTCACACATTTCTTATATTTGTAGCATTTTTCTCCTGCATGAATTTTCTGGTGTTGAATAAGAGAAGAACTCTGGCTAAAGGCTTTGTCACAATCATTGCATTTATATGGTTTCTCTCCAGTGTGAGTTCTTAGATGCTTCGTCAGGGATGAGCTCTGGCTGAAGGCTTTCTCACATTCTTTACACTTGTAAGGTTTCTCTCCAGTATGAATTCTCTGATGTCTTATGAGAGCTGAGCGGTCACTGAAGGCTTTCCCACAGTCATGACATTTGTAAGGTTTCTCCCCAGTGTGGGTTCCTTGATGTTGAATAAGAGCTGAACAGTAACTGAAAGCCTTCCCACATTCACTACATTCGTAGGGCTTCTCCCCTGTATGAGTTCTCTGATGTTGCGTAAGGCCTGACCTGTCACTAAAGGCCTTCCCACACTCCTTACACCCATAGGGCTTTTCTCCAGTATGGACCCTTTGATGTTTAATAAGGGAGGAGGTGTCATTGAAAGCTTTCCCACACTCTTTACATTTATGGGGTTTCTCTCCAGTGTGTATTCTATGGTGCTGGATGAGGTACGTGCTCTGGTTGAAGGCCTTTCCACATTCACTGCAGTCATAGGGCTTTTCTCCAGTATGAATGATATGATGTTGAATAAGGGCTGATCGGTGACTGAAAGCTTTCCCACATTCATTACACTCATAGGGTTTCTCTCCAGTGTGGACTCTCTGATGCTGGATAAGGGATGAGCTCCGGGTGAAGGCCTTTCCACATTCAGTACATACATAGGGCTTCTCTCCTGTGTGAATCCTCTGATGGAGGATAAAAGCTGAGTAGTAGCTGAAGGACTTGTCACACTCACTGCATTTCCAAGGCTTTTTCACTGAGCAAATGTTCAGATGTTTAATTGGGTTTGAACTTGCCCCTATTTCAGTACAATCCTCCATAGGGTTTCTCTTGTGCCTAATTATGACTTGCCTTAAATCTTTCTTCTGATTTCCTTGCTGCCTTTCTAACATGCCTCCATATTCCCAGGTTTCTATCCATCTGGAGTCCCAGGAATCATCCTTTATAAGTCTTTCTATTATCAGCTCCCTTTCTGATGATACTCCTTCAGAAACTTCCTGCATTGAAAGGGACACTTTAGTTTCAGGTGTAGATTCAGAATCTGCAATAAATAAAGAGTACAAATATTTGTGTTCTCTGTGTGGACAGAAAGAAAACTGCTGAGGTGGCAAGAAGTTAAAGAAAATTAAATTGATGTCCTTTAAAAATGTTTGTTTGAATGTTCTCAGAAAAAGCCTCATGGCAATGGCAGGTGACAAAGTTTCAGTGAATAACAGAGATGGGAAAATGATGAAGATGAAGCACAATACAAGGTCAGACAATACGATGCTACACCTGAAAGAATGGAAAACTGAACAGACTAGCCAGGGAAGAAGATAAGCAGGCAGGATGAAAATAAATGTCAACAAAATAACTAAGGAAGTGGGCCGGGTGGGGGGATGAAAACACAGGTCGAGACTGGGCAGTTTTGAAAAAGTATGGGACAAAAAAATCACTTACATGAAGACATGTATTAGAGACAACCATATTTGATTTTTTTTAATAATTATCTTTAGTCCTTTTTTAAAAGCAGATTTTTTTGTTTGTTTAGCATATGCTTTCCCTATGATTGTGTGTCTCCACTAACCACTGACCCCTCCCTTCCTTCATTCTTTCCTTCCCTTCTTTTCTTCCTCCCTTCCTTCTTTCTCTCTCTCTCTCTCACCTTTCTTTCTTCCTTCTTTTATTGCCAAAGTCAAATTTATCAGATTTTGGACATCATCTCCTCATACACTTGCTCCTGACTCACCACAGTCTGGCTTCTCCCCCCACCACTCAGTTGGAATTGATCTCACTGAAGTCACTAACCATTTATATGTCACCTAAATCCAGTGGATCCTTTTCATGTGTAGATCACCTGGGCTCCTCAACAGCACTTGACACCATGTGCTCCTCCTTACAACATTTTCCTGGTGCTTTTCTCCCCATCTTTATTGAGATAGAACTAACATACATTCTCTCTTGACTTCTGTATTGCTAAGCTCTCCAGGTTTTTTCTCCTGATCCCTACTTATCTGGAAGTTTTCCTGCTGTTTCTTCTTCTGAAATGTTGATGCTTCTCAGTGTTCTGTCTTAGGCTCCCCTCTATGGTCCCTGCCCCTTCCCACTGTCTCCTTTAAAGACATCATCCAAGACTTCCCGCTGGTCTAGTGGTTAAGAATCCACCTGCCAATGCAGGGGACGTGGGTTTGATCCCTGCTCCAGGAAGATTCCACATGCTGCAGGGCAACTAAGCTTGTGGGCCGCAACTAGTAAAGCCCGCACACCCTAGAGCCCATGCTCCACAGTGAGAGAAGCCACTGCAATGAGAAGCCCACGCACCACAAGTAGAAGGTAGACCTTGCTCTCTGAAACTAGAGAAAGCCCGAGCAGCAACAAAGACACACCACAGCCAGAAAAGTAAAAATAATAAATAAAATTAAATATATATATATGTAAAGGAGCTCTCCTTTTTCAGTTCCACAGATGGTGAACTTTTACATTCCCGGAGAGAAAATAAGCCCAATTCTGAGCTCAAAGTGATCAGGGATCCCCTACAGGATCAGAGCTCTCTGGATCATAAGCAAAACTATGGCATTTAGATGTCATTAGTCACAGCAGAAGTTTTATGTCACAGTAAGCAGTATGCATGGAAATATAACTTCCTTACCCCAAAATACCAGGTTCCCACAATTCTCCACCTTCATATCCATGCCCATGTACCTTCGGGCAGAATTTATCTGTTCCTCCTCCACACAGGTAAAGTCCATTTCCTCATCCTTGACTGTTGTCAATTCCTAGAAGAATAAGTACATTCTTTTTTTTTTTTTAGTGTTTAATGACTGCTTTATTATGAAAAGTAACTTGATCATCTCATTCAATGTAATTTTAACATATAGATAAATACATAGTTTAAATAGATTTGGGGTATATTCATATCCACAGAGTATTTATGTGATATGCCAGGATTGTAAGGCAGTTCCACACACTGGGGACATAGAAGTTAACAAAGAGGATAAAATTTGTTCTCTGATGAAACCTACAACCTGGAGGTAAGAAAGTATAAATAAATAAAGGAGGGAGGACAAAGAAGGGAGAAATGGAGAGCAAGAGGGAAGGAAGAGGGAGAGAAAAGAAGGGAGGGAGAAAACTTTTCTTATACTGAAAATCATTATGCAGAAATTAAAACAAGATGTATAGAATGACTTGGGGAAGGATGGGAGATAAAACATTAAGTTGTAGGGCCAAAGAACACCTGTTTAAAGAGGACTTTGTTTTTTTTTTTTTTTTTTTCTGTATGTTTGGAAGAATAAGTACATTCTTATAGGACTTGGTGATCCTTGAGGGAAGAGAACAATCTGGAATAGGAAGTTCTTTTTAATCTGAAGGTTAAACCTTTATTTTAACCATTTTAATGGAATATTCTAAATTTTCTAAGCATTAGTCAGAGTTAGGGAAAACAGTAATAATAGCTAACATTTATCATTTTTTTCTATGTATTAAGTCCTTTGAACAACCTCTTGTAATAACTATATTAGGTAAGTACCATTATTAACATTATCTACAGATGTAAGAACAGATCTGAGATTTGGACCCAGGCAGTCTGACATCAAAGTTAGACTCTTATTTAAATTTATTTTTTATACAATTTTTACAGGTTACTTTCCATTTATAGTTATTAGAAAATATTGGTTATACTCTCCCTGTTACACAACACATTCTCTTTTCGAAAATATTTATTAGGCTGTGTCAGATCTTAGTTGCGGGTTTTACTTGAGGCACACAAGATCTCAGTTCCTGGACTAGGGATTGAACTCACATCCTCTGCATTATAAGGCAGATCCTCAACCACTGGACCACCAGGGGAAGTCCCTGCGTGACACATTCTTGAGCCTCTTTTACACCCAATAGTTCGTACCTCCACTCCCCAACCATGCATCCCCCCACCCCCACAGCTGGTAACCACTAATTTTACATCTGTGAGTCTGTAAAGCTACCAGAATGGCACACTTCTGGCCTCCCCTCCCTGCCTCACTGGCCACATCCTCTCAGTCTCCTTTGCCTCTTCATCTCCCTGACCTCAAAGTGTTAGAAGCTACAGTAATAAGATCTCATCTCTTTCTACCTACATTCATTTGCTTAGTGACTACAGCTTCATAGTGTGAAATATCATTCATACAGATTCCTCCCAAATTTAAAGCTCCAGCCTGAGCTCCCCACAGAGCTTCAAGTCTCCAAGGAAAAATTACTTTGGTTCAGTTCTCCAGATGAGATTTCCATGAACCTCTGAAGTGAGATGAAAGAAAGAAATGAGGACACACTCTGAACATCAGGCTGAGATTTCACAGGAGGGAAATGGAACGCAAACTCACCTGGAACTCAACAGGAAGAGGCTCTCCAGGAGGCTCCATTCCTTCTGTGCTCTGCTCTGGGGACAAAGAAGCATCTTCTGTAGTCACAGCTGGAAGGAGCAGAAGTAAAGCCATGAAGTGGGTAAACTCTATCTTCCCACTTACAAATTCACAAGGACAAAAGCTATCACAAGCCAGAGGAATTGTATACGCAAGACCTACTCTACTTAACTCAAAAAGATCAGATAAGGATAGAGGAAGATAATAACAGGAGAGCACTTTGACCAAAAAGTCAAATGCATACATAGTATGTCAATATTTTGGTACACTCCTATGGGAGTGGAAAAGTGTGACCTGTTCTTTACCACAAAAGCAAGCACTATGGAATAGTCTCCCTTCCACGGCCTCAGAGGGAATGTGTATGAGCACAGAGCGCTGAAAGAGGAAGATGAGAGAGGGGAATGTGTGACAAGGAGTCTACTTAGGATTTCCAAACATGGCGGATTACAGTTTCTCTACTTCGGGGTCTTCTCCTGACATGTGTCTGTTTCCCTTTCCCGTCATGCAGGGGCACCTAACCTTTTCATTCTTATCGAGGTTATTTCCTCTATCTGTCCCCACTTTCAACTCCATGTTTATTTGTGTAATTCTTACCATTTTCCTCAACTTCAATGGTCAGATAATCCATGATCAGCTTTTCTTTGTCCTCCTGTTATTGCTAGGACTTCCTCCTAATTCACTGTTTCAGACGAAATAAACATGGACTCTTCAGCAATATATAATCCACTTTTTCATATAAATCATTCAACTCTACTCTGAAGCTTCAGGGAGAGATTTTGGGGTTAGCCTTGCCCCGCTCTGAAGTTGATTACTACTCTCTGGGGCATCTCCCTCTACCTCTTCTCCTAGGAGGCTTATTTCCACACATTTAAGTCCTAGGGCCTCAATAGTAACTCTGTTTTACTTAGAACCTTCATAATTTAGCCTAGATTAAATTTCACAGCTGGAAGACCCTCCTCTGGAGTCCCCCGGTCAGACACTACATTCAACACCGAGGCAAAAGCAGGAGAGAGCCAGGGCAGTGACTGTGAGCCTTAGTCACACACTGGTTCTGTATGATCCCCAAATTCTCCTAAGACCCTGAAGCACAGAAACGGCTATAAGCCGGCCTGTGATAAACGTCGCAATAACTAAAAGTAGGGCTCCCACAGTTACTCCATCCTTCCTACTCACAAAACACAGGGCAACTGATAGATGGGGTCCTTGAAACATCTGATTCTTCGCTCGCTCTTTAAGACCCTGAAAATAAACAGCCCGGGATACCCCTTGCACGTTCACAGTCGAACCCCTTACCCTGGACCCCAAATATAGGCAGCCCCCAAAGCTCTAATCCAGACACCCCCCCTCCCCCATCCCTCACCCCCGGTGGCTCGGTTGATAAAGAGTTGGCTTGCAATACTCGGGTTCGATCCCTGGGAGAAGGAAATGGCAACCTACTCCAGTATTCTTGCCTGGGAAATCCCAAGGACAGAGGAGCCTGGTGGGCTACAGTCCATGGTCCGTGGGGGTCACAAGAGTCGGACACGATTTAATGACTAAACCACCAGACTCCAATTGCGCAAGCACAGAAGAGAAATGAGTACTACATGGACTCCATTCTTTTCTTTCTGTCCCCAAAGTTCAGAACCTGCAGTGTTTCAGTGGAGTGACAGGACCTAAAGCCAACACCAGCGGGAGGCGCTCTCGCTCTCCGAATCTCGGAAGCCGAGCCCTCCAACCCTCATTCTCCCCTTCCCCAACTCCCCCGTCGGCCACGGGCCCTTCAGGCTCCCGGACTCCATTTCCCAGAGTACGTAGCGGCAACCTCGCTTCCGGGGCGCCCCTTCGCTCAGGACTAGGGTAGCCGGCTCGCTACCCAACCGGAAATACCCGGCGGAGCGCCCGGGGGATGGGGCCGGGAGGCAGGCAAGGCCCTTTTCCCGCTGAGGCCAGAACCTGAGAGCCTGGCCCGCGCTGCCGCAGGTGGCGTTAGAGCGGCGCGCTTGACGGGCGGGTCGCGGAGACTCGCGCCTCTGACCCGCTTTCTCTTACCCACGGACTCGTTGCGGACCTGGCTCCGGCTCCAGGGCTGGATCCCCTCCGGGCTGCGCTCTGGGAGGGGCGGGGGAGGCGGACACCGTCGCCTTCTGGACCCACCGAGCTGCGGGGAGACAAAAGGCTCGAGCCCGAGGCTCTGTCTGGAGTCGCATCTGCGCACTTGGAGGCGACCGCGGCGGGTCGGGGGTCCCAGCGGAAGGACTCCACTTCCCAGAGGGCTCGGTGTCTGTCCTGGGGGCGTCTGCAGAGCGAGGGGAGAGAACTGCGGGCCTTCCCAGTCGGCCTCGAAGTGGAGATCATTCTCCACCTGATCTCTTTTCTGAATAAACGGAGAAGCTCTGAGCGATTTTAGCGTCTGATTATTCGCTGGGGTGGGCGATGCGGCGCTATGACACAAAGTATTTTTGCTATATTTCTCCTTTCTTATGATAGTCTCAATTTTGGAAACCTAATGCTAACGCTGATTTGGTTGAAAGCATTCTGGCTGATTTAAAAAGCATTGGAAGGGGTGAGAGAGAAGCCGTTCTCCTGATAGATGAAAGAAGTCTGAGTTAGCAAAAAAAAGATGTGAGAAAGAAGCAAACAGGGAGAATCGTGCGGACCTAGGAACAACACTACGGGGAGGGCCACTCCCTAGAACCAAAGATCAAACAAGACGAAAGATACTTATACCCTCAGGGTCAAGAACACTGGAGGCTCTACCTCTAGTTCTTCACAGAAATCCAGAGAAACCCACTGCATCTCAGTTGGCATTCTAGTCCAAAACGCCATAGTCACCTAAACACTCTCCACCTCTAATCTTGCCTTTCCTCAATCCGTGCTATTCAATGCACCCAAGATGATTTAAAAAATTAAATCTATTTTTGTCACTCTTCTCAGAACACTTCAGTAACTCCTTCTGCCCTGGAGTAAAATGTAAACTCCTTAATGAAATGAAAACATGGAAGTGAGAGAAACCAGACACAGAAGATAACATAGTTTCATTTCATTTATAGAAAGTATCCAGAATAGGTAAATCTATGGAAACAGAAAGTAGATAGATTAGTGATCGCCTCGGGCTGGAGGGGACAGGGGCAGAAGGGAGTGAAGGGTGAGTGCTAATGGGTAAAGGGTTATTTTTGGTGATATTAAAAAAATTGTTCTAAAGTTGACTGTGCTGAAGGCTGTACAAATCTGTGAACATACCCAAAGCAGTTCTCTGTACTTCTTTTTTGTCCGACCCTTTTCCTTGGAAGAAAAACTATGACCAACTTAGACAGCATACTAAAAAGCAGAGACATTACTTTGCCAACAAAGATCCATCTAGTCAAAGCTATGGTTTTTCCAGTAGTCATGTGGATGTGAGAGTTGGACTATAAAGAAAGCTGAGCACCAAAGAATTGATGCTTTTGAACTGTGGTGTTGGAGAAGACTCTTGAGAGTCCCTTGGACTGCAAGCAGATCCAACCAATCAATTCTAAAAAGAAATCAGTCCTGAATATTCATTGGAAGAACTGATGCAGAAGCTGAAACTCCAATACTTTAGTCACGTGATGGGAAGAACCGACTCATTTGAAAAGACCTTGATGCTGGGAAAGATTGAAGGCGGGAGGAGAAGGGGAAGGCAGAGGATGAGATGATTGGATGGCATCACCGAATTGATGGACATGAGTTTGAGCAAGCTCTGGGAGATGGTGATGGACAGGGAGGCCTGGTGTTCTGCCGTTCATGGGATCACAAAGAGTTGGACACGACTGAGCTACTGAACTGAACTGGGCATGTAAGATCTTAATTTCTAGACCAGGGATTTAACCTGAATCTCTTCCAGCGGAAGCACAGTTTTAGCCACTGGACCACCAGGGAAGTCCTGACCATATGCTTTAAAAGAGTCAATTATATCTCAGTTCAGAGATATTTTGAAACACATTAAATTTAAAGTGTGGTAAAACCGGGGAGATTGTTTTACAGGAAGACTTTCATAAGATGTGTGAAGGAGTCTTTTGGACCTAGAAAAGAGGACAACATTCTCAAAGGCCCCTTGCTGAATCATCTAACTTCGGAGTAAAAACAGAATTTTAGTTCCACCCTGATGCTCCAGGCCGGTTGCATCTATCTGGGACTTATCACCCCCTGCCCAACTACAAATGTCATCTCAACAAAAGAATAGTCAAAATATCCTGCCTGATTAACGTTTTCCTTATCGCTTCCACAAACCTCCCTATAAGTATGACGCCTCCCGATCCCTCTCGGCGATCAGCCTGGTCGTTAGGCTGACTGTCACCCCTCCTTGCCTGAATAAAGGTAACCTACTTCTGTTGAGGTCGTCTTTCCTTTTCTGCCTCCCTACAATGTGTAAGGATGTAGAGACAGAAAAATCCCAGCGAAGTTGTCCATCCACACAACAGCCCTGGTTTTCTCTGAGATGTTTGAATTTGAATCATTTTAAGTTTTCTCAACAGAATGTCCTGTGTTTGACAAAATTTCTTTTAAAAAACATATTTTACTCTTAAAAACAACAACTAGTAATTGCATTCTTTGCAAACTAGGGCAAAATAAAAACTCTTCCTCAGAGGTGTGACTCAAGTACATGAAGGTTTGGAGGGAGAGGGTCTCCATTCTGATCATATCATCTCTTCAGTCTCTGTTTTGTGTTTTGCTTCTCACATGTCAAAATCTCTACAGACTGATTAGGAGACAGGGACCTCCCTGAGAGCCCAGTTTATTTTATTCTCTTGACCACAGCTCGAAGCGGGCTTGGACATCCTAAAACATTATGTGGATGTGTGTGGGTGTGAGTGTAATCCTGTTATGATTTTGCAAGTGCTTGGGAAATAAATGACAATAACCGCTCTTTAGAGTCACTCTAAAGAGGAGAAAACCTTCAGAAGCGAAGCAACCAGCGTAGATAGCGGACACCCCCAGCAGCGCCCGTTTCTCTTTACAGAAGCCGGCGCATGGTCAGTGCTGCAGCAGTAAGTTTCAGGCATCTGGAGGTGCTGAAGGGATGGAGGAAATGTTGAGCATGACCGGCCCCAGGCAGGTAGCGTGGAGAGTCAGTCCTGCAGGAACACGGACCTAAGGAGCGGGGAGCACAGGTCTGGTCCCCAAACCACTTCCGTGCCCTCGCTGTAGGACTGGCTCCAGCTAAAGCGCCAGGAAGGGAGGACAAGTGACCTCAGCGTTTCCTTCCAAGAGTTGCCCTCCGCTTTCCCTGGATGGTGGAACTTCCCCCTGGCACCTGCTGATCCTTAGGCAGCTACTGTGTCAGTGGGAACCCCCCCCCCCCCCACCCGCACAAACACACACATTCCTCTGGCTTAGGCGCTCTGGGAACCTCGGTCCGGGAGAAGGGGCCGGACCCGCAGCGCTGCTCGGAGGCTGGGCGGATCCTCAGAAGTCCGGGGACCGCAGGTTCTTTCAGCAGGAGAGGCTCCTGTTGTCCGAGCCCCTTTCCCCTAACTCTGTCTACCTCTACTACTTTTTCCACCTTTCCACCTTGCTTGTTCCTAATTCAGTCGCTCAGTCGTTTCCGACTCTTTGCGACCGCATGGACTGCAGCACGCCAAGCTTCCCTGCACTATTAATACATCCCAAACCCTCTGGACGCAATGG